TAATAATACAATTGATGATTGTAGAATGTAGAGTTTTTAATAAAAATCTGTTTGAGCAGAAGCAAATGTAAGGAAAACATACCTCCATCTTAACTKCACTTAAGCTAATCTAAATACAAAGGTTGTAAAAGTTGTAGGTTGACATAGTTCAGGGTTGAATGGTTAATTTTTAACAAATCAGTTTTTTCTTGTGACTGCAGCTATTACCAGATATATTTTAGTTGTATAAGGTATAGTTAAACTGGAGTGATTTGATGCAATAATGTTGTGTTCAAACAAAAAAAAGTAACTAGCACTAGGTTTGAAGCGATAAGGCTGCGTGTTGTTCCTGTTTTTGATCAGCAGAGGGAGTGTTGTATTGTTGTTGAGTTGTGGTACCATTTGKATGATGTCATTTATTTAATAAATATCATCAACACAATTTACCATTTGTTAAATAAGATCACAATCTTTACATTAACGTTTTGATTATATAATAACATTCTCATTAACATATTCATTATTTTTTTAAGTGTTTGCAAAAGCAGATACTAAGTGCAGAGCGTAAACAAAARACTCCTGACTGTTGCACAATATATAAACTGGTTTTCTAAATTTCATTTTATGTTTCCAGTCATGTTATAAATAGGCAGCTCTCCACGGTTTCATGTCTTTGCTGCTCCTCAGTGATTRTTATTGTTTCTGATCTATTTAGAGAAGAAAAGAGGATCATTTATTTGCATAAATTAAAGCAGCGGGGTTTGTATTGCTTTCCATCCTTGGAGGCAGTTTTGCTCTTTGAAGACTTGTTAAATCTGCACAAAAATGTGTGATGAAAAGGAAACGTGTTGATGTGATCTCTTGTTGCTTTTGTAGAAACCGTTGGATTTGTCGATAAGCTTTTTGAATCGCTGACAACAAAGAACTACCTGGGAAATCCTGCTGCCAAGGAACCTCCAAAGGAAGAGGTTAAACCACCTGCAGTCAAAACTGATGTCGTTGAGGTAAAAATGGTRGATGAGCAGATTTAATTTTTATTTTAAGGCTTTGGATCAAAGCATGTGCTTAAAATGTTTGTCTTTAAATGTATTTTATTGTAACAAACCCACTGTTTCCCTCAAGACTGAAACTCCAGAGGAGGAAAGAGAAAACAGGCGCAGGAGAAGCCCCCTGAGAAACCGCTCTGACTTTAACGAATCCAGGTAAGGCTGTGGCTTCGAGCATCTCTTRAACCTGTTTTAATGACAAAAATATTTGTATCATTTGTCTACTTAACGTATACTTACTGTTGATTTAGAATAAAATATTTTCATTTGATGCATTTTGTATAAAGGTCTTAAGGTGTTGCTATATTTTTATGTTCAGTTTTAATCCTCAGGAGTTCTGCTGGTAACTTGCTGAAGGCCCTGGTGTCCCTTAGCTGTGATTTACTTGAGACTGGACAATTGTCTAAACAATCACTTTAAACAATATTAAAAATAATGTTATGTGCAATCTCATTTGATGTTGTAAAATGTCCCATTTAGAGTGTGTTCTGTTAATGACACTAAGCTGCTTGCACATCAGGTTTTAGGTCAGTATCTGCAATATTTTCTGAGTCATAACAGCCATATTGTGCTGGGTTGGCTCTGAAAGTTAATCAGTCGTAGATGTGCATCCAATAATTTCCTGAAAAGTTCATTAAAATTTCTGGAGAGGTTCATAAGAAYTTTTMCTAACAGACACAAGCAAAAGCATTATCCTTCCCCTTTGCCTTTTGATGACAGGTGATAATGAAATCCTCCCTCTAATYACATTGTTTGCTACTAATGTGCTTTTTTCTGCAGTGCAATAAAAGAATGGAAAAGTGTTTATAAAAAAAATACATGATTATTTATAAATAGAAACCATGTCAGTTTGAGTGGTTTGAGAACCACATTTATCTGTTGTGTCAGAAACCTGTTGCGTAGGCCTGACTGACTTTAGCATTTAAATCAAACACAGAGGTGTAATTTAAACGTGTCCTCTCCGACTCACCCGCACAGGAGCCGCGATGACAGGAGGCGGGACGACCGCAAGCGGCGTGACTTCGAGCGGCACGGGAAGAGCAGCGAATCCCATCGCGAGCGCCACGAGCGTCGCAGGGCCAGCCCCCGCGGGCGGAGCTACAGCAGGAGCAGGAGCAGGAGTGGCAGCCGAGGAAAGAGCAGGGACCGGGAGCACAGAGGGGGCCGAGGTGAGAGAGCAGCGACCGCACAGGGGAACAGACTCGGGTGTGGCAGAGCTCGTGTCTGCSTTAGTGATGTGGGAGTCAGGTGCTACCTGGATGTGAACTGGTTTGGATTGTTTAAAGGAGACAGAATTGGTTTTGTTGTTGGGTTAAGAAGGAAGMAACGATGTGGACAGCTTTGCAGTCACATCATTGGGGATTCAGCAACATGGGTTGGAATTGGCCTTATTACCCTCAAGGTTAATCTGCACGTTTGYCCTGATAAAATAATCAAGTTGGCATTTAAAGTTATTTGCTTGTTATTTACAAATCTCTGTTTTTATCCTCTGCAGAGTTCAAGTCAAAGTTTGAGGTGGAGAGAAAAGACACAAACAGCTACAACGCTTCTGTTATACCCGGCTCTCAGCCGCRGCCGCCGCCGCCGCAGCACCCACCGCTTCTCCTGCCCCTTCCCACAGCTCCACACCCGTTCCCCCCGTCCTCGTCCAGTGGAGTCTCTGGAGCTGGAGGGGTTCCTGTGGCGACACCCGCTCACCTGCCCGACAGCACTACCGACAGCTGGTCGAGCTACTTCGGCGCTCAGAGGCAAGATGGCGTCGGCAAGCCCTTCAGCAACAAGAGCGTCTCCCTGAAGCAGCGCTGCAGGGATTACGACGGTAAAGGCAACGTTTAGCTGTTCCTGTTGTTTTTATTTGAGCTGATCCRTCTGGSCTCAAACGTTTTTGTGCTTCCAGTTTACAAAATGTGTATCTGTTAYAACTGAAGATATCTCTGCACAAAGTAAACAAGATAGCAGTCATTGCAAAGCTTGCTCTGGTTCTTGTGTTTTCCCACGAGGGGTTTTAGTTCCTTGTTGAGTCTCTTCACTAATGACCACTGTTTAGCACCCGTGTCTCGTGTCCCCAGTGAAAGGCAGCAAAGCAAGCAGGTCCTATCTACACAGAGACACGAGAGAGTTTAAAGTTATCCCACTGTCCCTGAAGCACACTGCTGTGACAGTGTTCAGACACTAGAGACCCAGTGTCTTAATGAGACTGTGGGGTAAAATCATGCACCGCYCTGTGCACCTTACTTCAACATTGGTCTCATCTCATTTCTTCAGTTATTTATTTATTTTTTGTGCAGAATAGTTTTAAGTTAACCATTAATAAAAACGAGATTGTAAACTCGTGTATGWCTAGAAAAAAAATCTAAATAATTTATTAATACATCTTCAAAACACTTGTTTTTGTTTCTGTTCCTCAGAGAAAGGATTTTGTGTCCGCGGCGACCTTTGTCCTTTCGACCATGGCAATGATCCCCTCATCGTCGATGACGTCAACCTCCCGAATATAATTCCGTTCCCACCCCCTCCTGTAATGCCTCCCGCCAGGTTACCCATGCCTCCGATCACCGAGCCGCCCCCGTCCCTCAGGATTCCATCCATGCCACCCTATGGCCAGCCACCGCCACCAGGCGTCTTCCCAATGACAGGTGAGCAGTGCTGTTACCTCCATGTAATAAGCATCAACTAATAGAAACGGTGCWTTGTAATGTGTACCTTCTTCTCTAATCTTACTAATTATAACTTTTAAGCCTGCACAGTCATAGCACTTTAGCTTTTTGTGCCAGGCCTCAATAAGAGTGTCTGCACTTCCCCCATTGCCCTGCACTCTATTTTATCTTCCTCTTTATGCCTTCACAATATGACTTTTTGGTTTAAGAACAAAAGGAACATTTTTATACTTGCAAAACAACTGAGTTCAGGATTCTATATATAAGTTGTATTTTTATGATAACATGTTTGTGCATTGTTGGTATTCTCATGGTGCWTTGCTCTGGCTAAACTGATTATACTGTATGAATCAGACACTGGGTTTAAAAGATCTCCGTACTGGTACAAATTTAAAACAAGACAAATCATGTATGTTTTTACACATRGTGTTGTTGAAAGGCTGTTCCTCATTTAGCTGGTAGTCTTTGTAGAATGAAAACATTTAGCGGTTTAGAACAAAGCTTGGACTTGTGTCTCCCTCAGGACCCCCACTGATAGCAACCAGTGGGATCGATACCCCCAACCACCAATCCACAATCACTTCTTCTCCTCCTCTCGGACCACCAGGCGTGGGGTTGCCYCCTACTCTTCCYCCTCCTCCTCCTCCTCCTCCTCCTCCTCAGCCTCCTTCTTCATCCTCATCTGTGTCTCTTCGCCCTCAATATGTCCAGTCTGAATGTAAGCAGAAATGCTTTTTCTGTTCAGATTGGGACCATGTGGCTGTTTTTTTTTTTTCCTGTTTGTGATTTATTTTTCTTCTGTTCCTTCTTTGTTTTCTTAGCTGCTTAGAACAAAATATGTTTGTTTGCTTAAAATAACTTTGAGCTTTTTAAAGAAAACCTGTTAAGTGTCTTGTTTGTGGTGGTGTCTTTATTTTTGTTTAACTCATGGTAATGTTTGTGCAATAATTGTGAGTGCAGTAACAATTATAAGCCACAGGGTGGTGCTGTTCTTTAAGCTAAAAACAACAAATTTAGGATTAAATGTAAATTGTTTCTATAAAATAGAGCACTTCACTTTAGAATTATAATTCTGCTCTGTATTTCTTGGTTTCTTGTATTACAAATGCAATTTGATTGTCATGAAAAGAGTTTATTTGGTATTTTTGCTATAACTCGTAATTATTTTTTAGACTTAAATTTGTATTTCTTAATCTTATATTAGTGGTATTTGAACTTTTCTCCTTATTTAAAAAATGTGTGTTTATTGATACTTGTGTACATGTTATCATTTAAATTAGTTGGCTTTTATTTTTTTAAC